TTGATTTTGTTGCTCGATTCTACTATATTCACTGTTGATTATCTAGCTCGTATTACTCAATTTTCAATTTCCAGCTGCTTTATTTTTAATTCATTATCAATTGCTGTTCGAGCCAGCCCCAACAGCACCGCAACATTGCAAACGTGTCGCATTGTGACGACCTCAATGTCGCAGTAACGCTGTAGGTAATGGCTTAATGTCTGCTTTTTTGTGACGCTGATGTGAAGTCATGCTGCGACTTTGTTGTGAAGTCACACTGCAATATTCATGTAACAACTCATTTGGACTTTACAATGTTTTAATGATCCAATAAGGTATTATACCTTTTAAAGTATTACAATATTTCCGTAATATTCGAAATTTCTTTATCTTACCGAGGTTGTATCTCACCCTATTCAGGTTTTATAACTGTAATCCATTTACGTTTATTAAATATCTGTATAAACTAGAGTGTGCAGAAAATGCAGAACGTATTACAATATATATGATGCAAGTGAACAATGGTCATTTTGTAACCGTATTAAATTGCTAATACTTTTGAGTAGGCTTTCCAGAAGCTACATAATTTTGCTTTCATTTTTTAGAATTTAATATTTAAAGACAGTTCATATTTTCCCAAAATTTCTAAATTATATTATTAAAAATGAGTTCTTATAACTTATTAAAAAACTATATTTCTTAATACCTTTTTCCCTCATTCTAAACAGAAATACTGTAAAAAAACTATTTGGCTTGGAATATTTTTATAACAGTTTAGCTTTTAGTGTTTTCTGTTCTCCATTTCTTTTTTCCTTGATTGCTTTCCTTCCAGAAAAAGAGCTAAATTATTTTTATAACTGGCTGAAAGAAAAACCGTTTTAGTTCTTATTATATAACAAAATGTTTCGTTTTGAATCCAAATCCGGTATCCATGTACACATCGACCCTATTTTCACTTTACCCATTAATGTTATCTGAATGAAGTTTTCTTATTACATAGGATTTGGAAATACACACCCAGTAACCTTCACTTAATTATCACAAAGGAAATCTCACGGTACTGGAGGTTCAGGTGCAAAGCACATGGAAAACAGGCGACTAGGCTAAAAGCCTTATCCTGTGTATAACTCATGGAGAAATGGCATACTTAACATAACATTAGATGTGTTGGCAGAGAATTCTGAGAAAGAATTCTCACAAGATGCTAGATGTGAGCCTTGTGTATAAGATCCTCAGAGACGAAGGTAGACTGCCTAAGACGTAGAAGAGAAAAATGAAATGTCCTGCATCGCTATTGGTCCGTCATATGGGAAGTGCTAATTCATTCCTAATCTTCGGATTCTGCGAAGTTGATGAGCAACATAGCTGCTTGAAACCCTGTTTTGAATTTCTCTGCAGAATTCTTTGCTGATCTGATTTTGTTAATATATGAGATTATGGACGTTAAAAACGAGATTATCTTTTCATCCTGAAGCCATTTCATCACATTGCTGAGGTCTTTATGGGGTGGAGTAATTTTGCCTTTTTAGTTTCTCACTGTATCTTGGCTGGGATTTTTCTGCACTGGAATTTCAGCAGTCTTATGGGCAAGGAAGGTTTTCTTCTGAAAATCCTGGAGCTTTGGGTTGGGAGGTCTGCTTTTCTTTTCGAATCTTTTTTTATATTCACTCAACCTCTACAGCTGCTGACATGGCAGAGTCCACAGAAAATACATTTAGGTTTGTCATCAGGCTTCACATTGCTTCTATGCTGGTTCCCACACTTCATGCATCTCGCAGGGTTACTGCAGCAGTATTGAGAGTGTCCGAACTGCTGGCAGCGGTAGCACTGGACTGGTATTTTCTTCGGATTGAATTTTTCCATCACATTAAAGCTGAACATTAGCTGGTGGATCTTATTTCCTTCAGGGGTTCTTTTGAGTTAGAGAGAAGAGATAGATAGGGAGCTTGATTTTTTCCCTTCGACTTTTGGAAAACTGCTTCACTTTTAGAACAGGGAAGTTCCAGAACTTCAGGTCTTGGACTATGGCCTCTTCTTGTATAATAGCTGAGAGGTTCTTCATTATAACCCCACGGTACTGAAATGAAGCTTCAGGCTTTAAGGCAGAACGACACCACTTGCAATATTTATAAAAAAGAAAACTTCACTGAACCTGAACATTAAAGACGTATTGAAGATTTAGAATCGGCAAAAAGTATGATTTGTTTCCGATGCCAGAGGTTTGGCCATGCATAACTCTTCTATAACAATTCCCCCAAAGTGTGGGGAAAAAAACCACCTTACTTGTGATCTGAAGAAAGGTAAGCAGACTTATTTCAGATGCCAACAGTCATGTATCTTCATTTAAAGATAAAATTCAAAATTTACATTCAAATGAGAAACATACTCATCAGCACCCTTTAAATCCTATTAAGACTCTTAAACCTAGGAAAGAATCTCCTGACGATGTCAAGACGTGATAAATTTGCTGGATACAAGTACATTTCTGGAGTGCATTGCCCAGTTTAAGCTGAAATCTCATGAAGAGAAAGTTACCACTGTGGTTCAGGGGATCCGCTTCCTGCCTTACCACCAAAATCATTTAATAACGCTTTGAACTCGGATGATGGCACCATTTACTTAATTACTGCCTTCCCTTTTTCACTTATTGTACTTATTTATAGTGTCTTATGTACGACTGTTTTAAATTCAGCACCATTAAGGCACACTTACTTCAACTAAGCCAGAATAAAACTAGCAAGTATTAAAAACTCTGGTTAACATTTCCTTGCCTCCAACTAACCTTCATGAGCATTTTGAAACAAAGTACTGTGATGAGATAGAAGAGATTATGCGTTTCTTTAAGAGATAGAGAACCAAAAATCTCTACTTCAAATGACATGCATCCACTTACTCCACTGACATAATTGTAAAACTCATGGAGATGCTTATTATAAGCTGTGTCGTACATACTCAATGAGTGATTTTACAAACTCATTCTACGTAGTCTTTCGTGAATACTTCCAAGAAAGAGCAGCCAAAGGAATCTTCAGCTTTCCTTTACAATACAGTAATTTTAATAGTCAGTTATATATATATATCAGCATTTACAAGATCTTTAATATAAATATTGAAACAGTATTCAATGAAGCATATTGTTAGCTATTATAAAATCAAGCTGAAATTTCTGCCAATTTGTTTTCACATTTAAAGAAATTTGATTTCAATACGAAATTTAAAAGAATGACCACTACCAATAAAAATATTTTCTTTCTCTGCAGGGAAAACGTAATGGAGTTATTTTGTATGTGTATACAACATCAGCAAATGCATGCTTACCACATATTTACAGGGTTCATATATATTATTTTTCAGGATCATTAATGAAAAAATTAAGGACTGATCAGCAAAGAAATTGAACAGATTAAATAAATTACCTATAACCAAACTTCTTGTAACACCATTCTAAGAATAAAACAAATCTGCTTATAGATTACACTACTATTAAACAACCAAATACTTTTAATTACAAAACTAATTAAAGGAAAAAAATTCAGCTTTGTGAAATTTAACTGCAAACATTTCTCCAATATTTAAACTAATGGTCTCACATATTTTTAAGATTTAACGACATTTAAGTTCTGCTAACAATTAGTTTTGATGATTCTTTTGTGCCTTGTTTCAGCATATGCTCACTGAATACAGAGGTTATGCAAATTTCATGTTAAATGGCATAGGTTAGTGACCCAGTTAGCATCACGTAGAGTTGCTGGATTATAACTCAGTTAACACACAATATTTAAATAAATTCAGAATAATCTGCTGAAGCACTATTATAAGTACCATTAGCTGCAAGGAATAGTTTTATGATAATTTCTATGTCCACGCTTTATTTTATGCCTACAATAACGATTATGGAAAGACAAAACACCACCTTAGCAAGTTGAGATAACTTCTAAGGACGAGCAATTAGTCAGATAACCTGATTCATTAGACTGACATGGCCATTACCAATTTTTAGAATAGAAAATGTTAAAAAAGGAAGTGATTATTCTAATTATAATCTAAAAATATATCAGTTTTTGATCACGATCCCAAAATGATTTTAGCATGTGAAACTACAGAATATGTACACTGCACACACACACACACAAAGAGGTCAGTTCCGAATCTCCCATTTTACTGAGGCAATTAACAAAATTCAAATTTACGTTTTTCATGTCTAAAAAGAGCAACTTAGGATATATATTAGATTTATATATATAGCTTTGTTCTAACATGTATATTTTGGCACAAAATCAAGAGTTTTTTTAAAATGATATGCCAATTTTCCATATTTTGAGTAAATAAATTACAAATAAATTGAGGCTTAAGATCCAAACAAAAAAACAAATATTTGTTATAAATTGACAATAATCAGATGAGTCTCTTTTCAAAAACAAGTTTTTTGAAGAGCTTTACACTCATCTTTTTAGAATTTCCAATCTAATTGCTTGCAAGTGCAGAAATTTTTCCCAGACCTTGACATTTACTTTCATTGATTCTAGATACACATTTAAGTATTATTGGAAATCATTTTAAAATTTATTTCCTTTTAGCAACCTTTACAAGATAAATAACAATGTATTTACCCACTTACTGGAAAAGAAGCTGACCCTTTTCAAACTGCGAATTTAAGATACGACATACACTAAGCAATTATCCTGAAGAATTGCACGTTCTTTTAGAATTTTAATTATAGTGCTATATAGTAAAAGCAGTATCTAAAGTGAGGTATCAGATATTGGGAGATTTTTTTAATTTTATTTTGAAACGGTAAGAAAGTAGAACAAATTAGTAACAATGCAACAAATTCAAGTAACTGCAACATATGGAAATTTATTCATCTCGCATTCAAAACAAACATTCTTAACAGGAAATGTTTTCATTAGACATTTAAAAAAGTTATTTTGCAACAAAATACATATTAAAAATGCTTTCTATAAGTTACATAAGTTTGAAAATTATACATTAGGTAGAGAAAAAGTGCAATAGTAAACTGATAAAAGACATTAATTTTTTGAAATTTTAATGATTGAATGAATACAAAAACTTGGGACTATTTTATTACATGAATACAAACAGCCAAACATAAATGAGGTAATGTCTATAATACAATGCGGCATCCGAATGTCAATGAATACACAAACAAAAGACTGAACATACACTCATGAAAGATGGAAAATTCTGGAAACATTAGACAAATTCCAGTGTAAAACAGATGGTAAGTCCATGGAAAGTAGCAGCTAAATTGAAGGTTTTACCAGCTATCGTTTCTGTCAAAATAAAAAATATATATTACAAAATAAAAAAAAATTTAACGTGTTAATATAAATTTAACAAAAACAATTTAAATTCTGTGATGCTCAAATACTCAACATTTAACAGTTACACGAAAAAAGAAACCAAGAACTCCTACAGTGAACCTAAATGTGTACACCTTAAGATTTCTGTGATGACTATTTCACGTAATATCCATTCTGCCTAGCAGTAAAGCTATTAATTTATCAATTGCCCTTTCTTGTTCACTACCTTTATTTTTAACAGTTTAATCGAAGATTTTGCTTTTAATTTCTGGGAATAAACACATGAAAATCAGCTGAAATTTCTTGAGACAGACTTCAGCTGTCAGAAAATTTTTCCCATTTATTTTTATCTAAAATTTACCAGAATATATTTAATTTTAAAAAAAAATATGCTCAAATGTAATAAAACCTGCTAGTAAAAATCAATATGCTTTAAACTCAAAGATTAAAGCCTACCTTAAAAACATAGAATATTTGGGCGATACAAGTTTTAAATCATTTTACTTTATCAAAAGCAAATTTAAAAATTGCACAAAAAGCAAACTTAATTAACATGGATAATGAATAAATATTTAAAAATTATAATTTAAGGTACAATTTACAAGCATTAAAATGCCTAGCAAAACATAAAATAGCTTAATCTGACAAAGTAGGTTACAAGTTTGTAAAAATATTAAACAGATCAGTCATTCTCAATATTGTGAACACAAGTGTAAAAAATTCATGCTATGTAGAAAACTATAATTGCTAAGCATTAAAATGCCTAGCAAAACATATAAAATAGCTTAATCTGACAAAGAAGGTTACAGTTTGTGTAAAAATATTAAATGGATCAGTCATTCATTCTCAATATTGTGAACACAAGTGTAAAAAATTCATGCTATGTAGAAAACTATAAGTACAACTTCAGCAATGTATAATATTTAGTCGCTTATGCAGTCTAATATGTGATTTTCACCCTTCTCATTCAAATAATTCAGTCCTCACTTCACAAGGCAAATACATAAAACCTTAACATACAGGGTGGGCCAAATAAAAGTAAGCCACAAGACAGTTATTCTGTTTTCTGGGCCTCTTATTTGCCCCACCCTATACTTTTATTAAAATTGAAAACAAATACAGCTACAAATAAAGAACTTTTACAATTAAAATTACAATTTCTACGCAAAAAAACGAGCAATTCGGCCATCAACAAGAATGCAGATTCTTTGGTGCACAAAACTGAAAGTTTAATTTTAGTCTCGGCAAAAAGAAAGCAAGGCATAGAAACTGTTAATTTGTTGTGGATGCCATGCTGAGTCAATATATGGGATAATTCAACAACTTAAATGTTAATTCCAGAATGGATTAAGTATGATTTAGTTCACAATAATAAAAGAAGGCGTTATCTTTGTTGTTGCAAAGCTTAGTTTCTCCAAGTTGACAACAAATCCACTATTCTATTCTGCAAAGTTTCAAATGTGAACAAATATGGCAAAACCACACTTAAACAACTTTCAAATTAAGACACAATAACACGCCAAATAAATACTAATTCAGAAGTCAAATAACAAAAAATCAGCATTATATTTTCAAAATTTTCACAGGACTAGTTTCGATGGTTTTACGGAACAACCATCCTCAGCTGCAAATGAACAAGATAGGAAAAAATGATTAGATAAACAAGCCTTGTCAAGGCTTTCTTAATCATTTTTTCCTATCTTGTTCATTTGCAGTTTTGCAGCTGAGGATGGTGGTTCGGCAAAATCACAGAAACTAGTCCTGTGAAAATTTTGAAAATATAACGCTGATTTTTGTTGCTTGACTTCTGAATTAACTTTTAAATTGCTGATGATTTTACAACTGTTATATGGAAGTTAAGGCTATAAGTTATAGACTTAACTGAAATGCACACAAACTTAAAATGGTAGTGTATACATTAATTGAAAAAAGACTTCTTTCTTCTAAATTTGTAAAAAGAAAAAGAGGGAGGTCATGTTGAAGCTACTATTGAATTCAAAACTGCTATCTGATATTCAAGTTGATATATTTTATTGCTAAAAAAGTATTTTTCAATAGCTTTATTTCATTACAACAGATGTGCCTAACCTTTTATGAGTGTGATTGTATGGGTAATAAAGTGATTTACTAATACACAGGAAAAAAAGAAAAATCATTAAATTAATAGACAGGTAGCATGTAATCAACTAAAAGGCATATCATGGCTAACCTATACTTCATTAATCTTCATATTATATAATTGTGTAATTTGTAGATATTTTAATGTTTATATCTAATGTAATATTTTTCAGATACTGCTGTGTGCAATCACTGTAAATGTCATGAGAGAGATATATCAAACTGAAGTAAGTAATATTATTGAAGCGAAAAAATTTCGATTGACAAATTAAAATTAGTCTGTATTCTTGACACAGCAATTGCAGGACTTGAACAGCAGAACTTTGTAACTGAACAAGAAATTATGTCTGTTTATAAAATTAAAGAGAAAGTATTAGCACATAAAACGAAGCAACTTAAACAACTTACATTATTGAAAGAAATGTTTCATAAAGTAAACAAATAAATATTAAGCTTTTTTTTGTAAATTTTGATACCCTTTAGATCATAATTGTTCTTTATTTCATAAATTACGGTTTCATATTTATAATTTCTGCATGCCATCTTACCAGATTTAAATTGATCCAATATCTGAGCACTAATTTTCACTCATTTTTCCAAATGGCAAGTCTCGCTCGTTTTAGATAAAAGTTTCATTATTTCGAGAAGTGTTGTTACTGCTTGCTTTCAAATTGTAGAGTTTGTCAAAAATTTGAAAGTTTTACAAAATCTATACATATAAAGAAGAATACCTGTTTGTGTGTATAAGTTTTCGATTTCCGATAAATTATCATAAATTTTTTGCCACATTTAATCAACTACTGGAACTTGGGCTTTTACGACCATCTGATTAGAAAAAAAAATCATTAAAAGCTGCATGCTATTGCTACTGATGAGACAGAATTAGTTTATTTTTCTATCGAAATTTTTATATGGGTTCCATATTGCATCAGACTGAAAAATGTATGACTATATTTTTTGCATTGTTACCGTTCTCTCTGTTGTTAGACATCAAGGCCTGTTTCCACTACTGCGTATGCGTTGTGGTGCGTATGCGTTTCTCCAATCAGCGAGCGAATTCACTTTGATTGACATCTGCAATCCGGTCGGTGTGCGGTGACGGATGACATGCGGATGGAGTTCAACAATGTTCAACTTCTATCCGTATGTCTGCGGTTGCGTTGGGGTCACGTGGTGAAAAAGGAGCAATCAGGTGCAGTGACTAAAAATTAATGGCGGCAGAAGTAGCGATGAACGCTCGCTAATAGGGAAAGAATGTTTTGCTAAAAAATACTTATTTCTGAATTAACATTATAGCGAGAAATCTGTGTGCTGAAAATGACAGCAATCAGCTGAATTTAGTTTAAAATGATAAGAAAACAAGATAACTGCAAACTACAGTACTTGTTCATTCAAGAAAATCAGCGGCAAAATTATCATTCCAAGTCCATGAAATAGCAAAATTTGTTCTGATAATCATTTTTTTTAGTTCTGCATACTCATTTAGCTTTAATGAAAATGAATGTCTGACTATATCAAACTGCTATAGCAAATTAGATATATGATTAAAAGATTTGCTATTTTTTTTCTTTTGAAAACAGGTAAAAACTAAAAAACGTTAATTACAAATTAAATTGATAGCCTTTTAAATACTCCAGTTCATTGAAGAGTATGTTAAATTTGTATTTCCCTTTATAATATATATCTTTTTGGATAACATATATTTGTAAGCACATGAAATATATTTTTAGCAGCCCGTTTAACTTCAATCGGAACGCCACTTTAAAAGATAATGATTTTTCCAAAAAATGTACTAGAAGCTGAAGAACAAACTCTGGTGAATTTTTCAGACAATAGCAAAGTGAAATAGGACCAAAAAACTTAAGTTTTAAGAATTGATTTACTTGATGATGTATATAACCCAAAATATGCATGCGACTTATGTGTAATCCTAGCTTAGTGGTAAAGCTGATGGTAACGATGTCCACTTTTTGGAGTCGTGAGTTCGAATCCCATACGCTTTTTGCACCATGTCTGCTACTTTCTTACCTTTTTATTCCAATTTGATCTATATTCGTGTTTTATAATTTATTTCTATTATTATATGCATTAAATATATTGTTTTATTTATGCTCTTATTTATTTAAATTTTTCCCGCAAAAAAGTTTGAAAATTATATAATACTAATTTAAAGCATATCCTGTACTTTAACAAACATTCTCTATTCGTAAAAAGCAAATTTAAAGTTAATTAAATTTAAATGAAATTTAATGCAAACAAAGAAATGATTAATTATTGCTGTGCAAGTATCAAAATCCACGAATAAATATATAATTCCAAAAATTTATTAATCCTTAAAAAATTTATAAAAATGCATAAGTGAATAATGGGATAGATTATTAATCCTAAAAAAATTATAAAAATGCATAACTGAATAATAGGATAAATAAATTTTTGGAATTACATATTTATTCATGGATTTTGATACTTGCACTTGATTTACATATGCTCTCGCTCTCGGAATTTAAATGATATTGTATATTAGTTTTCGCAGCAATAATTAATCCTTTATTTGTTTGCATTAAATTTCATTTAAATTTAATTAACTTTTAATTTTTACGAATAGAAAATGTTTGTTAAATTCAAATTTCATTCCTTACAGCAATGGCGCAAGAGAATTATTTAAATTTAATTTATTTTGAAACCCTGCAGATATATATATATATTTTCGTTTCACTTTTATGTGAATGTATATATATACATGTGCTCAGACTTTGGGATGTTTACGACTCTAAACTTTCATTCCAATTAGCATGAGACAGCATTAATGCCCTAAACATTTTTTAAACAAAAAATTACTATAATAATTGCATTTAAATTCAGTCCTCTCCAGCAGAAGCGCAGGAATTAATTAATTAAATATTTCCATTTTCTTTACCTAATGTGTGTATATATAAAGAGAAAAATCTTATTTTTATAACTTCTTGTATAAAAAGATATGAATTAAAAATGTTTAAATTAAAAATAATATTTTATGGATTATGTATAAAATATAACTGCCCATAGTGCATTTAAAAACAAACGAGATTTCTAATAAATTATCCAGCTATGACCCTGAAGTCAGCGGTTATACAAGCATACAGCAAATTTTGCTTAAATATTGTGAACCTTTTCCTTACAGTTGCTCTGTACTTTTAAAGTACCAACTATTTTTTAAATCCCTTTAACTTTTTTATTTTATGTTATTTATTTGTTTACTTTTTCACTAACAGTACATTTTAGTTTTAATAATATATATATTATTTCATAATATTTAAGGCTTCTAGAAACACAATTTTTTTTTTTAATTTAGTTCAGCTTCTATGGAATTCGTGATGTTCATAATATGCATTATAACCTTACTTATCTAAAATTCCATATCAAATCCAAAACAAACAATACTCGCTTAAGCGGGAAAAATTCAGTCGTCGTAACTTGCGAACTGCTTGCACCAAAATATTACAGTGACACCTAGCGGCGGAAAATGATAATATTTTCCGCATACGCAGTAGTGGAAACGCTTGTACGGATGCCGTAGGCGTGTCTTCAATTGACGCAACGCGTTCGTACGCAGTAGTGGAAACGAGCCTTCACTCTCAATCTAATTTAACTGGCATCAGTTACTTCCACTAATATGTATATAAATACATGCATATACATTTTTGAATCTGTTCCATATAACACAAGAGTAAAAATTATTCTTTAAACCATTATAAGGGAGAGAATGGATTTTACCAAAATTTAATTTCATTACTAGGAAACCATTTTCCCCAATAGGCCAAAATTAAAAATCGGGAGATTTGGTGATCGAATAAGAGTTCGATGCTACGCATATCATCAGGTCAGTAATCAACCTATTCCCACAGTAATATCCTGGGTATCCGTAATATTGAGTCTGTTCAGCACAGGAGCACAAATTAACAACTAGCTGAATGTTCGCATTATTGTAGCATAGGGGAGAACAGGTTCTGTATCCATACCACGATATTCTACACTAAAACTAATAAACTACATTCCGGCAGGTGTAAAAATCTCCCCTTTGTGGTGCACCCTTGATTATGAGATACTAAGCTTTCCTGACAAAAAGTGTATTAAATTATAAAATTCTTTTAAAGTAATACTATGTTGCTCAAAATTTTACAATGGCATTTGCCCCTTACCATTTGACCATAAGCCAAACATCACAATGAAATTTTATGCCAACGATATTTGGATCGACTTTCCTTTCATTAAATCTTTAAAAATCAAAGCCTTCGCTAACCTGTAAAACTACCTGAAATGGTTTCCAAGAGTCACAGCAATTTCCTCCATTCATTAACACACAAAAAGTGAAGATATCAAATAACATCACTTCAAGTAAATCCTTCTAGGGCAAGCTGCCTGCAATAGACTGATGCAATGCATTTGTGGAAACTGCACTTGCTAACCTTAGGAGAGCGAAAAATGAATATCAGAAATTTGGCATCTTCAGAGTTAAATTCTTTATTACGGTCATGAAAATTTAAGTTATTTCTTGGGCTGATGAACAATAACCATATATCCATTGTGCGTTGCAATTCGAAAATTCACTGAATCAAATATGTACATTGTGGCAAAGTGGTTACACTAATACCAAAAGAATATTTTACCTCATTTAAAGGATATCATGTCTTTGTGCAGCTCTCTTAAAAATCTAAGAATAATCCTTTGAATTTAGTTTTAATTTCATTGCTTAAAAGGTCAGTCTGACACTGCCTTTAATTTAAATAAAAGGCAATTTGACATTTTATCCAATTTTGAATTTCTTAACTCTTATGAACACATTTATACTTGTATTTGAACAAATATAAAACACGCACTTTTAATAACGGTCCTTTCAGCTATCATTTCACTTATTTTTACTAATGAATTTCCAGAAATCCTACTCTGAATTTGTAAAATATACATTTTCTAAGTAAACATAGTGAAGCATTTAATAAGTACCTTTAAAAGTGCTTTTTATTAGGAAATCAAGATATGACAGATCCATTAATACATATCAATAAATAATGATTAAATCCTACAACTTAATTAAGATTTTACTTTAATAAAAAAAAAAAAAGCTGTGGCATGGTAAAATTTATAATTTAACTTACCTCTGACCCACAGGAGATCTGCTACGATAGCCTGAACCATACGAATCTCCAAAATATCGGCCACCCCCTCCACGACCTCCACCACCACGGGAGAAGCCTCTTCCGCCACCACCTCCTCGTCTAAAGCCCGAATCATAACCTCCTCGTCCTCCACGAGAAAATCCGCCATCTCTACCTCTAAATCCACCTCTACCTCCCCTTCCTCCACCTCTGCGGCCTCCACTTCGAGAAACATCAACTCTGATCTCTGCACCATTGATAGTGGCACCATTCATTTCTTTAATAGCTTCATTAGCATCATCATCATTCTCAAAATCGATGAATGCAAATCCAGGTGGATTACGAGCAACCCAAACCTTGGTCAAGTTACCAAATCTACTGAATTCTCTTTCTAGGTCTTCTTTTTGTGTATCTTCACCTAAACCTCCAACGAAAATCGACATTGGTGCCATCTTTGAACCTCTGAAAATTGAAAAATAATATTAATACTTTAGCAACACTTATACAACTTTATTAATACTCTATATAAAGTTAAGATGCTCTTTTTTTTTAACTTTCAGGCTAACAAATCCTTGAGTCCAGAAGCTTTTTTTTTCAATTAATATATTTTTAAGGAAGCACTTCCGCAGAGAACCCAGTAAATGTAAACATCGCCAACTTTGGCGATAATAGTTCAAACCTGGTAACCCATCGGATTTATCCTTTTCGCTTGTTCGATGTTTGTAACCATTCCTCTTGCGTTCATTTTTTTTTTAATTATCACTGTCGTTGTTCCTATTTGCAGATTTATATTATTCTTCTCTTATTTATTATTATTTTTCTGAATTTTTTAACAACAAATAGCTAGAAATATTTTCATAGATAGATCTCGGTTCGGGATGAAAGGAAGAAAATGGGGTGAAAGCTAATTTGTAACACGGCCGTCACGTTGTGTTCTTAATTATTAACAGCTCTAAGAACCATGAGGTTTCCAACCTCTAAAATAATTTGTTTCCGTAGACCGCAAAAATGTGCTAGTGCATTTTAAATAATTAAGTAATGCTTTTATTTTTATTATTAGTAATTGTCATCTAAAATTATGAGAATAAATCAATTTTGATGACATTTCTAACAATAAACCTTTCAGAGGATGGCAGGTGTGACATAAATAGATGATTAAATTGAAATAAAGAATATTATTGATTATCTAAGATCACAGAATAGTTTGATGCATCACCATGGTCATCAAAATTAGCAAACCACTGCTGGTGTAAGGAATATATTGTTTTCTGTGTTAACTGAAATTTAAGACAACTTTTTTTTTTGTTTATCACGTTTAACCGGTTAATTTCAGTACATTAATACTAATTTATATTTTTAAATGAATTTTTATTTCCATTATAAATGCTTATATAGTGTCTTATGTCTATTATTATATATTCTTTTTTGTGCTAACTTGAATTTAATACAAATTTATTTTCGTATATCACGTTTAACCGGTTAGTTTTACAGCTACATGCTTATTATCTGTGAATTTTTACTACCGTATGCGTAATATATTGTTTTGGCTGCTAACTTGAATTCACATGCACTAAAAATCACGTTTACGACTCGGCTCATCGTCGATGGACCGTGAGCTTGGCGAGTAAAAAACGCAACGGCGCCAACGGGTTCTCTGCGGATGAAAACCCATTTTTAAATATAAAAATAATATACACACTATTGCTGGGATAAATGCTAAGTTAATGCAATTAATTCCATTATCAGAACCGGATTAAGGAATATATGTGTGTGTGTATTTATATATACAGGACGATTCTAAATTGCTTTTACAAATTAAAAAGGGTGATATTAATTCAACCTGAACTTACACCAGTGTTGAGGAAAGATCGGTTAACTTAAGAGAAAACCATATTATAATGAAGTCTCCAGAATTTTGATTAAAATATCTTCATTAGTAGAAACAGTAATAAAATATATAGGTATATATTGGGCATAGTTACAACTTTATTCAATTCTTTTGTGAGTTTATTACATTATTTTTTAAGTATGTTTCAAATACCAGTAATATGCAAGATTTGGTGACAATTTAGTATGTATTATATTTAAATAATTAAAATTTGACATTAGAAAATACATATTTTAAAATTTAAAGAATTCGAAAATTAAATATGAACAGAGCTTTCAAGGTTACTTAAATATACACATTCCAATACTCTACTTTTAATTTAATGTTAGCTCATCTTACAAATTAACCAATGATAAGCACTAGATGGATCAAGCATGCCCTTTTGAAAAGTAGGCTTAGGTAATTCACTACAATGAAAAAGCTTAACATTAATTAATTAAGCTTGTGTTAACAAAAACAAACCATTAAACAAAGCTGATAGTAAATAATTAAAGAAATGAATATTGATGTTATGATTTATAAGGTTAAAATTAAATCAGAGGTAAAAATACAACAGTTAAAGGTTTTTTACCGATTAGATTACTATGTTTAAGGAAATGTACAGATAATTACGACATGCTTTTCAGAACACACGTTAAATGCGGATTAAAATCATAACTTCTTGAATCAACGTATGCTTGTCGAATAAAACATAGAAAAAGAAAACATTTCTTCATCACATTTTCTGAAAACTTCAACAGATCATCATAGGCAGATACTAGACATTTTAAGACTAAAATCAATCGGGCTTGTCGATTTCGGTGAATGTACCTACACCGTTCACATAAATTTCAGCTCGTTATCTTAAAATGTCATCTACACTTTCGAAGCTACATTCTAAACTTTCGCGAAATAGACTATAGGAAATTTTCATACAAACCTCAAATACCGAAACTAATACAATTTGTAAAAGAAAAATAAGAGATCATCATCATCATCAGAGCTAAATTCTTAATATACCTAATTTGATACATTAAATAATTCAACCACAGATTTGGCTAGGATAGGGGAAAAAATATATGAAAGCACATAACGACACGTGGTAGTGAATATCCTTTATCACCTTCACACATTGTGCAATATTAACATGCACTACTAAAAAGAGAAAGAAGTTTAACGACTTAAAATTTTCAGGATATATTAATAAATTTACAGGACCAATTTTCTATTCAACTAATTTAACAAAGGAACGGGCAAAATGGCGCAAGGGGCTGGACATTACCATTTCAATTGCTATATTAACTACATTTACTTTAAAAAGGAGAAAAAAATTTAAATATTCGCTAATGAATTAAACAGCAATGTTAATTATATACATTTCTGAAAACCTTCATAGAACAGATCAGCTAATTAGCATGGCAGTAAAAAGCCCAAAGTTCAAATACTCACCGAAACGTCTCACACAAAAGCCGGACAAAATCGAAATGGCCAAATACCGGCGTTAAAACGATTACAGTAAAAGTTACTGCCAGATTCAAAAACAGCAATATACATTTTCGCCCTCTATGACTACCGCTGAGAAAAATTTGCGCCCTCTAACAGACAGTGCCGAAAAACTCGTTTCTCACGTGACGTGTGTACGCTAATTTAACAAACAAGATACTAAGGGCCCTAGTCTGGACCAAAGCTGTATGTAAGTAAAGCGTCGACACTTTAATGGGAGAACTCGCGCTTCGAAGCGACCGCAACGCTCGTAGCGGTAGCGATGGGGAAACACAATCAGTAAAATTGCGCATGCTCTTTTTCTTTTCAGTCATTGGTTGTTTTCTATTCCAGATATTCTACAGATTTGTTTGATTTTACCCAAATCTTGTTAGCTGCTAACGTGCATTTCTTGTGCTAGTTATAACTTATTAATTTGTCTTTTTAATTATAAAAGGCTCTTTTCAAAACCAGTTTTTAAAATTTCCTTTAATGGCGTATCGATACTGCCGATTTAAGGATTGCAAGAGTAAGATTTCGTGAAAATCCGATGGAATACATTTCTACACATTTCCTCGAAACGAACAAAGGTTAGTACTCAATTATTTTTCACTTTTACTATTTGTAAGGGGATTCGAAATGTGATATATTGTTGTGTGTTTATATTTAATGTTGTAATGTGTTTATATTTAAACGTGAGAATAATTTTGTCGTGCATGGTTATGGTTCATAAAATATTGTGGTCCTTAAAATCTATCGGTTTACACTGGAAAAACAATTATGTGATTTACAGTTAGCATTTTATCAGCAACATTTAGGGCATTTATTTTAGTAATGTTTACTTTATTTAAAATTTATGTAGTGAAATTTTTTATAAAAAATAATAAAACATTTTAATAAAAATTGTATGTATTGGGTTAAAAAAAGGTCTCATTTAATTCATAGACTGTTTTTAACAACCCTGAAACCCTGTGGTATAGTTGCAAGTAAAGTTTGTGGATATATAAAAAGAAATTTAGATCTTAACAGTAAAAAAGTCTCTTAAAAGCATAGAGGAATCAGTGCCATACTGAATGATGACGAAAATTTATAATTGGTGTTCAACATAAAATTATGAAACTTAGTGTTAAATCTATGTACAGGCGCTGTTCCCAGTACAAGTGTCCCACTCATCACACTTATCAGACTTTTTTATCCTTAATTTCAACAATACATATCCTAAAACTCTTCTTTATTACTTCCTTAAGTACGCATCTCATAGAATTTGCTTTGCAGTACCTTTTAACAGATTGCTTTCCAGTACAAACAATTCATGCTTAAATAGTTTATAATGTATTTGTCAGAAGAATTACAATTTATGTTTACAATTAATGTTAAGGTTATTATATATTTAGATAATATTTATAATTATTATAAATTTAGATACATTTAATAATTAGATTTCTTCAAAGTAATTTCACACGGGATTTTTTTTATTTCAAATACATTTATAAATAATTTAACAAATATTTACGTATCTTGTTAAAGGCGAGATACATACTTTTTGCAATACAAGCATAAATACCCATACATATTTCACACTTTCGGGCATGTGCAAATCTTTATTTCTGTGCATTTACAATCTTTTTTGAGTAAAGTAATCTATAATAATTTAGCATATAGCCAACATTTTTACATAAGGGGAAATATGTATGAATATAATTGAATGAAAATTACATGCATTATTTTTAATACCACACTCAAAGGTCAGTTTTGCGTTGAAATCCTTCACGATGGCATCTCTCCATTTAGGCAGATAACCCTTGCCTGACTTACTCTATTTAAACAAAACTTAACCTTATATGCCTAATTAGAAATATTTTAACATACAAATTTATATTTACAGTCAGCCATCAAGTTTCACACCACTTTGAAACACGTTTTAGAAAATACATTTATTATCAAACTCAATCTTCTAGAAAATATATTTTGGCAGAGCATTCAATACCTTTGCTGTTACTGGTTCTCAATTTCTCAGAGAAATCTTTAATCCAGGAGAGAGTTAATTGAGAATCGAAAATTTTGAGACCTACGTACATTAAAAAGCAAGCATGAACTTCGAATTTCCGAGAAAAGTTCTATTAATGGGTGAAACACTTATTTGTAGACAGGCTATTCATATATCAGCACATGGTAACCTTTACCCGAGTCGGTTACTTGGTCCTTGAACAGGAAATGGGGATATTAAATGATTATCCATAGCACTTGAGAAAGGAGTGTCACTTAAATTAAAGACATGCTGATCTGAAACTGCATTCTTTGTTACGTGCGATTTCGGACAACATGGCACAGCATTGTGAACTAGATGATGTTTCGCAGTAACGTTTCTAAAACAGTCTTGACAATGAAACATGCAGAGATATGCTTTTTTATACAACTCAGAAGCAGGAACGCCAATGAGCTTATCATTTTGGGAAGCCTCAACCCATGCTTGGCATCTGAAAGAAAAGAATGAAAAAAAAGTATAATACATGGATTATATATCAACATACAATAATTGAAAATTATTGATAAAACATTACTAAATTTTCAAAATCATAGAATTGTAGTTTATTTCAAACCTTTTGATTGCATTTGAATTATCTATAACGTAAGATTCTTATGTTAATTAACCATTTATTTTTATCATTTGAATTTTTACTGTCAAATCTACTTTTTCCGTTCGTCACCAGAATGCAAATAAGTTACAGTATTTAAGTAGATAGGGTTTGAGGCTAAACGTACGTGTGAGGGAGGATGTACTTTTAAAGCAGACTCTGTTATGTGCTCGTCACTTTGATAGTATTGCATTCTAAAACCCGGGCTTGCCATTCTGGTTGTCGTTGGTCTAAGTTAATGTAGAAATCATGAGCCAGTATTTTCAAATTGAATATTTGAGTTTATTTTAGCATTGTTTAGTTCTTCAAAACAAGTGTTGGCGTATTTTCTGAGCAAGAAGGAAGTGCTTTTATGTTCTGAGTAGTTAAAATAAAAATGCTATTTAAACTTTTGCAGCCATCTGACCTTACGTTCACATCAGACAAAATGAATAATCGCTTCAAGTCTACTGTAAGCTAGTTTTGCATGAGACCTAAGAGTTTACATTACAACGTTCCACGCATACACATACGAAATCAATAAATTTGTTAGCATCTTAAAATTACAGTACAAATTCATTTCTTTTCTCTCTAGCAAGTACTTAAATTTTTAATACAGTGAAACCTCTTAAGTTGGACACCTCGATGAGTGGACACTTGCACTGTGTACAAAACCTGTACGTGTATTTAATATTAAGTTTCATATGTTATGTTGAACACCAATTTTAAATTTTCGTCATAATAAAGTATGGCATTGATTCTTCTATGCTTTTAAGAGATATTTTTACTGATAAGATCTAAATTTCTTTTTATATATCCACAAACTTTACTTGCAACTATACACAGGGTTTCAGGTTTGTTAAAAACAGTCTATGAATTAAATGAGACCTTTTTTTAACCCAATACATACAATTTTTTATTAAATGTTTATTATTTTTTATAAAAAATTTCACTACATAAATTTTAAATAAAGTAAACCATTACTAAAATGCCCTAAATGTTGCTGATAAATGCTAACTGTAAATCACATAATTGTTTTTCCAGTGTAAACCGATAGATTTTAAGGACACACAATATTTTATGAACCATACCATGCACGACCAAAATTATTCTCACGTTAATATAACACATTACACATAAATATAAAAACACAACAATATATCACATTTCGAATCCCCTTACAAATAGTAAAAGTGAAAAATAATTGAGTACTAACCTTTGTTCGTCTCGAGGAAATGTGTAGAAATGTATTCCATCGGATTTTGACGAAATCTTACTCTTGCAATCCTTAAATCGGCAGTATCGATACGCCATTTAATTTTTAAATGGTTCGAAAAGACCTTTTATAATTAAAAGAAAAATTAATAAGT